TGCCCAGCACACATGGACACCCGAACCTCCCTTTCTTAGTCCTGTTGGCCCAGGCCACAGGAAGCTCCATGGCCACCGTCCTGGTTTCCCACAAGCCTTTCCAAAGTTAGCTGAGGATTTCCAGGAAAAGCCTCCCCATGCTCAGCTGGGAGACTCCCTTCCAGGAGTGTGGTTCTTACCTCATTTAAGCTCCCTGCCCACTTGTCCTCTAGGCCAGGAGCTCCCAGGGACAGTCACATGTCTCATTAGGCTGTGTGTCTTTGGCCTGGCACAGAGCCCAGGCTCACAGACCATGAATAGCAAGTCTGTTGGAGAAGGAACTCCTGCCGCAGATCCACAGCTGAGAATTAGATTCCGTCTGGTTCACGGGCACTGGGAGTGCTGGGATTGGCACACTCCTGTTCTAGGAAACAGAAACTTAGGCCTTCCTAGAAACAGCAGGTACTTTCCAGAGCTAACCAGAGCCTGCCGGGACTGTTTGCTGTCTCCCGGCCTGGCCGCCCACAGCGAGCACAGCAGTGGAGTCAGAGTGCACAGCAGCCTCTGACCCACCCACCTCCCTGGCAGGGCGAGAGAAGCATTCAGGAGGGGGAAGCCTTGTCCTTCCCTCTCCACAAAATGCCCCTTTTTATAAGGTGAAAAGAATTCTTTCATTTAGTGACCTTAGGGAAGCTGAAGCCCTCGTGGAAGATGCTCTGTGAGGAGTGTCTGATAGTTTTTGCCACAATCACACCAACACTTGTCATTCTTGACACCTGGAAGAGTACCGTAAATATAATATAGCAGGGGCTGGAGAGGTGGCTCAGTGGTTAAGGGCTCTGTCTGATTTTCCAGAGGATCCAGGTTCAATTCTTCACACCCACATGGCAGCTCACAGGCACCTGTAACTTCGGTGCCAGGGGACCTGATGCCCTCTTCTGGTCTACATAGGCACTGCACTTACCTGCCCAGACAAACATGCAGGACCACATATATGAAATTAATAAAAATAAAAAACCATGGGAGGGCTGAGTAATGATGTTTTCTGCAAAGCCCGATGACAGGAGCTCAATCCCCTGGGCCTGCATAATATAATGGAAGGAGAGAACTAACTCCCACCAATTGTCCTCTGACCTTCATATGTTCTCTCTCTCTCTTTCTCTCTCTCTCTCTCTCTCTCTCACACACACACACACACACAGACACACACAGACACACACACAAACACATAGAAAATAAATAAATAAATGAATAAATAAACAAAACGATAAGAATAAACAGCAGTGATCAGGACTGTGTGTGTGACTGTGTATGTGTGTGTGTATGTGTGACTGTGTATGTGTGTGTATGTGTGACTGTGTATGTGTGTGTATGTGTGACTGTGTATGTGTGTATGTATGTGTGACTGTGTATGTGTGACTCTG